AAAAAAAAAAAAAACACACACACACACAGAACTTTTTTTTTCAGTGGCATTTTTTTTCCCCCAGGAGAAATAACTTTATTTGGACTGAGAGCTGGAGAATGAGAATAGGACCTGACACAGTATATTGGGCTAACGAGCAGAGGTGACGTTCCAAAACGGCAGTCAAAGCTCATCGACCAAACGGACTGTACTTCCCAGCAACCTTGCAGTTAGTGCAACCAACAAAAGGCCTGCTGGGGAATGTATTTGCCACTAAATTCTCCACACATGCCAACATCACAAAAAAGATAGAGGTTCTTCATCATAATTAAATTTCCACAAACCCCTCAATCACAAGTATTATAAGAGGAAGTAAAAATCACATTTTACAGATCTCAAACTTGTCTTCAACATTTAGTTCATCATCTTCAAAAAACAGCTCCCCTGCTAAACTCATTAGCTATATGATCTGCCCCAGCAGCAAGAGGACGGCCATGCCACGGCAATCCTCTTCCCATTTTCCCTAGGCACTCAGGGCTGAACAGCAGGGTGAGGCTCAGGTGGGAGTGGGGGAAGGGAGCACAAAGGCTACTTTCCCCTAGTATAACATGGCATCTGAAGCTTGATGGGAGAGCAGAACTGGTGAGACTTGAGGGAAGGGTCCAGGGCCTGTATTCAGTCAGAGTCACTGCTGGAAGAGGAGGAGGAAGAGGAGGGATGCTTGCCATGCTTGTGGTGCTTGTGGTGCTTGTGCATCTTTTTATGAGCTTTCTTCATTTTCTTCTGCATCTTCTTGTCCACTATCACTGTTGGTCCGACCATGCCAGGAGCCAAGGGACTCACAGGAGGCATTCCAGGGGCAGGGGGTGGGTATGGAGGAGGGTAGGGACCACAGGGTTGGCATCCTGGATACCCTGACTGTGGCACAGCAAGAGGGGGCCCACATGGGGCGGGGAACTGGATTGCGGTGGGGAGCTCCTGGGGGAGGAGGATAAGGGCCTGGGGGAAAGGATGGATTGACAGGTGGTGGGTGGGCAGGACTGGAACTTCCAGGGCACCCGATGTTGGGGGGATATGGATTTGGCCCTGGCTGTCCGGCATTGGGGTTCCACATGTTTAGGTGTGTCCTCCACCCTTTCCACCACCGCCTGGGCTTCAGTACATTACTGAAGGTAATATTTTTTTTTCTTTATTAATTTTAATGGTATAACAAGAACGGCATATCATTTTGACATAAGGAGTTCAAAGTTACTATGCAAGCACTCTTCCATTAATCTTTAAAATATATTTGCTGGGTGAGCAGCCAACGTAATCCTGGCTAAACAGATAAGAAAATAGCCGGTGATAAGGTGACTTGTTTAAAGCTGCACAACAAATCAAGACTGAAGCAGGCGCTCCGGTCCTCACCAGCTCCGTGAGCGCCTCTGCTGGCCCAGGCTCATACTGGCAGCAAGGCGGGTGCTTCGGAATTGGGAATCACTTGATAAAAGGGCCTCATTCTGGTAACTTCTGGAAAGTTCAGATGAGAATTCCACAAGCGAAGAACATATATATTTTCCGTCACGTCAGTATTTTGAGCTGTGTTCCTCACTTGCATGACATCAGCTTTTAATTATTTAGAGAATAATTATCAATTTGTGGCTTATCAATTCCCCTTCCTTCTCTCCTGCTTCCTGTCTTTGGGCCATTTCACTGTTCATTAATATTTGCAACAGAGGCCAGATCAGCTTGGCTGGTAAGCCCTTCTAAGTTGGAGGGGCTTTTTTCTTTTTCAGAAAAAGAGATGGCATCTCACCATGTTGCCCAGCCTGCTCTCGAATTCCTGGGCTCCAGCGATCCTCTTGTCTGGGCCTCCCAACATGCTAGGATTACCGGAATGAGTCACTGCATCTCAGTTGCATCACTGGAAGAACAGGGCAGGCTGGTACAGAAGGCAGAGCTGGTACGGCTGTCCCAGACACTGAGCCTGGTGCCCCGGCTACATTGGCTGCTAGTGGAGGACGCTGAGGGTCCCACCCCACTGGTCTCAGGGCTGCTGGCCGCCTCTGGCCTTCTCTTCACACACCTGGTGGTCCTCGAGCCCAAAGCCCAGCGGCTTCAGGAGGGCGAGCCTGGCTGGGTTCATCCCCGTGGTGTAGAGCAGTGGAGCAAGGCCCTGGACTGGCTCCAGGGCAGAGGGGGAGCTGTGGGTGGGGAGAAGGACCCACCACCACCAGGGACCCAGGGAGTTGTGTACTTTGCTGATGATGACAACACCTACAGCCGGGAGCTACTTGAGGAGATGCGCTGGACCCATGGTGTCTCAGTGTGGCCTGTGGGGCTGGTGGGCGGCCTGCGATTCGAGAGCCCTCAGGTCCAGGATGGCCGGGTTGTGGGCTTCCACACAGCATGGGAGCCCAACAGGCCCTTCCCTGTTAATATGGCTGGATTTGCTGTGGCTCTGCCCTTGCTGTTGGCTAAACCCAATGCCCAATTTGATTCCACCGCTCCCCGGGGCCACCTGGAGAGCAGTCTTCTGAGCCACCTTGTGGATCCCAAGGACCTGGAGCCACGGGCTACCAACTGCACTTGGGTACTGGTGTGGCATACATGGACAGAGAAGCCCAAGATGAAGCAGGAGGAGCAGTGCAGCAGCAGGGCCGGGGCTTAGACCCAGCAGTTGAGGTGTGATGGCCCCACCCCAACTCCCACCTCTTTTCAGGCACAGACCTTGTGGGACTGGACCCCGGGCCTTCCCAGGATGTGGCTTTCCAAGTCCTGACCCTTTCGAGCCAGAAGTGGCCCCTCGGCCCCTCCAGGCCCACGGCATGGCCCTGCTGCTTTGCCCCTCCCCTGGCCTGCCGTGTGGCACTGCCCACAGGCTAGGAACAAGCAGCCCTTGTATTGAGCCAGCTCAGCCCTGTCTAGGGTGGAGTAGAAGGACAGACGGACTCAAGAGGGAGGGCACCTGAGTAACTGGGTAATTAATTGGGGCTGGGCATGCACTGGGGGGCTGGAGAAGCTGGGCTGGACCCTCCCCACCTGAGCATGCTGATCCCCTCCTACCTCCAGAATAAAGAATCTCAACCTGGAAAAAAAAAAAAAAAGCATTTTTATTTATTTATTTATTTTTATTTTTTTATTTTTTTGACAACAGCGGCTTCTTTAGTCCCTGAAGTCCTTTTTCTCCACAGAATATTTACAAACAGGGACGGGGTGGGGGCCACTTCTGCCACCAAATAAGGGGCTAGGGAGGGGGGGCAGTGCTAAGATGCGCCTCTGCGCAGGGAGAGTTCCTGAGGAGGGCCCATTATGACCCGGGTGCGCTGAGGGGCCCAGGTGGTTCCAAGCTTGTCCACAGCCAGGCAGCAGCGGCCCCCACGGCTCAAGCCAGGTCAGCAGTGGGTGAGCCCAGCTGCTTGGAGGCCAGAAGCAGGTGCGTGGCTGTGCTCGCAGACTCCGCCTGCAGCCGCCGATTGCTGTGTCTCAGGCTCCGCACCTCCTCCTCCAGGGCTGCCCTGTCTGCCTTCTCCTTCTGCAGGTCCTCCTGCAACTTCCTGAGCATGGACCCCAGTGAGAGACCTTCTCTGAGAGGCTCCCAGGCTCTGGCTCAGCATCAGACTTTGGAGTTCCCTTAGGGTCTCCGCTCTCTGGGATGGGCTGTCTCCTGCTAATGGAGTTCCGCAGAGACAAGGTACGTGGCAGAAAGGAGGCCCTCAGCTCTGGGGCCGGGTTGCCCTTGTCCTCAGAGCCACTGGGACTGCCTGGCCCATCCTTCAAAGTGGTCTGACTTCCCATACCTTCTGCTGAACAGATTTCCAGGAGCATGTGTGCCACCCTAGTGTGCTATTCTGTTCGAGGTCCTGTTTCTTGACTTTGGCCAAGTCCTATCATGAGATAATGCAGGAAAAGTCTGAGTTTTAATATTAGGGGAGCATCCATAGATGAAAGAGAGGAAATAATCTGCTATATTTAGGAGCAAATAAAAATTTTA